ATCCCGCCCATCCCACCCATCCCCCTTCCCGCCCGCGGCATTTCTTGATGACTGCACCTCCAGACGTGAAGCCCGCCAACCTGCTTCTCAAGTCCAACCCGCGAGACCCCCGCGGCTTCACGGTGAAGCTCGCGGACTTTGGGTTCGTGCTGCATCTCAACGAGGTGTGTGGAGATGAGAAGAATTGTGTGTGGTTGAGGTTGGGGGTGGGGGTGGGGGGAGATGATGTGGGGTGGCGTGGGAATGGGGTGGCCCCTCTCTCGCCTGTGTGACATTTCTCAACTAACCGGGCGTACGCAAGTTCCTCGTATGCGCTTCCGCAGCCTACCGGCACTCTCGGTCTGGCCACCAAGGGCTGCTGCCTGAAAGCTGACTTGAGCGCTTTGGATTCCAGCTGGTGGAGGAGGGTGTGGGTTGCAGCGGGCGCAACTTCCGGGAACGTGCAGCTGTGGGGCTCGCCATGTGACACAGCCACATTTCCCAATCTTATCTGCACCTGCCAGCTGTGACGCAGATCTGTTCCTGGGCCCCACTCCGGTGACGTTGCGTATAGGCCACCTACTGCTAGCGTTTCCTTAGCGCTGATGTCAGTCCCCTCAGTCGGGTATCTTAGCGCCAGTTCACTGCTTGTCCGCGTGCCACTTGTGCTTCGCTTTTGTCCAATTTCCCGTTTCTCATTCGTTCATTACCTCCTCACTCACCTAGAACCAGAACCCCACCTCCCCCTGGTCCTGCCCCGGCCCCGGCCCTTGGCCATTACCACCCACCCCACACCGCCCTACACGCCCCCAAACCACCCCGTGTCGCAGACTGCCGAGGACGGCTCTCGATACGCCATTGCGGATCAGGCTTGTGGAACGTGAGTGGGGAGATATCATATCCTTCCTTCCCGCCGCCTAGGGTAACGGGGCAGCCCGCGCAAGCAACCTAAACAAGCACCTAACAGGCAACAGCCGTGGGAACGAAAGCTCCTGCTCCGAAACACTCACTCGCGGGCTGCGTACAACCATCCATGCTTGTATGGTGAATCACTCAACCAGCATCCAGCCTTTGTAGCGAGCCTCAAAAATCCTCTTGCGAGCCTGATAGTCCTCTCTCCAAACTTGTTGCTTGTCTCCTGCCTGCCTGCCTGCTCTGCTTCGCCTGGCTTGCCTGCCGCCCCGTGTCGAATGGACTATTGTTGACTGACTGACTGACTGGTTGACTCTGACCTCTCCTGGACGGGTAACCCCGGTCCCCCGGTCCCCCCCTGCCCCGGTGGATGGTGGGCCACACAGGGTGACCCACATGGCTCCCGAGGCGCTTCTAGCAAGTGCGTAGCGGTTGCGTTGGGGGGAGGGAAATGGGTTGATAGTGAAAGTGAGGATAGTGGTTGTAGGGCTCGTCGTAGAGGTGTCAGGGTTGAGAATCAGTTTCTTTTTCGTTAGGGCCTGAGGGTCCCTTTTCAACACTCATCAAGTAATAGATTTTCAGGGTTTTGTGTGATTTATTACTTAGCTGTGAGGCGCTGGAGGGGGGCGGAGCGGCCCCGTCCCCAAACCATCCCCGACCCTCAGCTACGCTGTTTTGCCCCGCCTGACCTTGGTCAAGTGTTGTATGTGCTCACGGTCCCCTTCCTCCCGGCTCTTCCCGCGGACTCTCTGCGGTGGCGCTGTCCTGCCGCATGCTGCGGTGGTCTCGGCTGTGCGTGGCGATTGGGACGCAGAGGCCAAGATTGATTCATCCGTCGACATTTACGCCTTCGGTAGGCGGACGTGGCATTGGGATGCTGGGCTGGGATGCACGCTGGGCCGAGAGCGTGGCGAGCGCATATTGGTCCGGATTGGCCCAGTACCGGGGTGTGTTGAAGCGGGATACTTCGTAACAAACATAAGGCGTTTGTATGATCTGAGATCGGGCACGACCCGCTAAACAAGGTTTCAACACTTCTCCAGCTGTTCACCCCTAGCCTCGCACCTGTGGATCCCGCGTCTCTGCACCCCACCCCACCCCACCCTGGCCCCTGCGACCCCCCTTCCATCTCAGGCATCCTTATGTGGGAGATGTTCTCGGGCGGCGTGCGGCCCTATCCCCGTCTGCAGCCCGACAAGATCCCCCGTGCCGTGTATCGTGGTGCACGACCCACCTTTTCGGATGACATCCCTGCGGCATACAGGTATATCCAAGTGCCGCGTGGGTAGGTGGATAAATGCTGCAGTGAGGCTTGCATGATAGGGGGCCATTTGGGACCGGTGAGTGCGTGGGCCCCCAACCTCTCCCTCTCTTTTTTCCTCTTTTTCCCTCCCCTCACGGATCTGAGGGATCTGGCGGTGCGCTGGTGGTGTGGCACCCCCACCCTCTCCCCCACGAACCCTCCCCTGCAGGAACCTGGCTCTGGCCTGTTGGAGCACGGACCCGCACCGGCGGCCTAGGGCGTCAGATGTGGTGGTCCTGTTGAATGGGTTGCTGCTGGAGCTGGAGTAGGGCAGCAGCCAGGCAAGAGGCCTCCAGCTCCTATCCCCGTCCCGGTCCAGGTCCAGGTCCAATCGGCGCCAGTAGTGTATCAAGAACAGCTGCTTTTGGCCGTGCACCCTTCCTCTCTTCCCCACCAGAATGCAGCTGCCCAATGGGGGGAGGCTGAATGGTGGCAGCAGAAGAACGCGCCGATGCGGCCTCGTGACCACCAAATGAGCAGCGACAGAGCAGCAGCACGATTGGCAGCCGCAACCGTAGCCGCAGCCGACGTCAGAGTCGTGCAGCCGGTAGCCAGCAGTTTGGTTCTGGGAGCTGCGTGCCACCCATCGACCTATGGGCAGGCCTAGTGCCACTGTGTGAAGGCTGCTCTGGACCTGATACAGCCTGGCCACCTGCAGGTTGTCCGCCGGCCGCGGGTGAGCCCGAGCTTGCACTTGTTGCAGTGATGGTAAATGATGTTTGATGTAGATAATGGCAATGGTGCCGATGGCGGAGCTGTTGATGGACAGGTGAGGGGTCCTGTCGCCCGGCTGGGGGCTGGTCGGGAGCTCTCGAGGCCTCTGGACTTCGGAAAGACCCATCATGGAATAAATGCAAAGCCTAGATAGCCGAATTAGGGGGTGTGCTCTGCAAATTGAAGGATGGCGGACGCGTACCTTAACCATGCCGATGCAATTCAACCATATAATCATGTCCATGGCATTCATATATACGTGTGTTCTTGTAGTAAACAAGCTGTAAGCCGCTGTTTGGTGCACACGATGGAACGCCTGTGCGCGCGGAGAGATGACGAAGAGGAATGAAAGGGAGAGAGGGAACCCGCGTGCGTGAGTTGGAGCAAAGCTTAAGGCAGTGGAGGAGACGGCATCCCGGACAACTGCACATGGAGAGGGCGAGGTTATAATAGTAATGACGCAGCGTGTGTGCGTGCAGTGCGACGAGCATGCGGTGTGCGTTTCGAAGTGCATTACATGGCGCAAAATTTTCACAATTTCGTAACAGTTGCGGAAAGAGGTCCTGGGTTGCATCTATCATATACTTCTTGGCCGCCTGGCCGCAATGCCGCAACGGTGCACTATAAGGCTGGGGGAATGGTAGAGCCAGAGGTTGAGCAGCAATGTTGTTGAAGTGAGAGAGCAAGGGAGGGAAGGAGGTGAGAGACATGCGCGGGCACACTGTGCGGCTTGCCGTGTTCAAAACTATCCTGGGGCACGGCTGCAGCTAGTATTGCCATGGCAGCGGCCAGTGAGACCAGATCACTTCGCCAGCGACTCACTTCTGCGTACAGCGAGATCGCGCAACCCGCTTTCGTAAGTAGGTCCGGCTGGGAAAGCTATTGTTGAGTGATGCGAAGGGAAGAGGGCGCGGCGGCGCCAGAGGTGGTCGAGCGCTAGGAAACGGAAAGGATGGGTGCAGGGCGTGGGGTTAAAATGCGACGAAGTAGTAAAGGTGAAGTAAGGCAGGACGGGGCAGCAGCACGACGGCATAAGGACATGCAGTGGACGGCCGAGAGGACGGGGGCCGGGCCCATTCATCAGTGAATTGTTGGGTCGGGGCGCAGAGGAAGGACGGTTGCAATTGCACTGTGAGGTGCAGTGTTTTGTGCAGCGGCTCGGGGGTTCTTATCCCACCCATACTTATGTCTTATGTCCTGGCGGACACGTGTGGACCTACTCAAGGGTCCCTAGGGGACCCAGTTGCAGCGCATCGGGGATTTTGGTGCGGTAGGAGGAAGCCGTGTGTGTGCATGAGCTGACGCCGCAAGCGCCGAAGCCATTTCAATGCCGCGGTAGGGGCGGAGCAGCCGCGAGCTTGCGGGTTGTTTGGTTGTGGGAAGTCCTGCGTACCTGCCCGCGCTACCTGACCGGTCCAGCGCCATGGAGGGAGAATTGCGTATGGATTTAGGCGAGGGACATGAAGGCGCGAAATGGGAGTGGATGCGTGGATGCATTTGATAGATGAATGAACGCATGATTAGCAAGTCTTAAGAGGAATGGAGGCTGGGAGTGTGGGGGGGTTGGTACAGTGATGAAAGGGAGGCAGAGGGGTGTGGTTTTGAAGGGGGTGTAGGTATGGGGTGACGTAGCTATGGGCCTGTGTTGCCCTTCGATGCATAATTCATGCCTCTTGGGGATGCGGGATATGCCGCGGAGTCGGGGCCTTGGTAAAGAATACGTCGCACCCAAAGCTATAAATAAATCACTGGGAGCAAGATGGCATACAAGCAAGCTAGAGCTTGCAAAAGGGCGCACTATCACGATAAAATTGGGCGGCAGTGTGCAGTTAAGTGTAGCGCAGGTGGAGCAGAGCAGAGCTGTTCGGCACACACACGCGCACATACACACACACACACAACAGCACCTTGCCATGATGGCCGAATAGTAGGTCCGGGTATCATTCACCGCGGCGTAAAGCTCGGGGTGCCGGTTCGCTGGCACAGTGACTTGCACAGGGCAGCTGTAAGGACGCCCGGACAAAATTGATGCGAGGTGAGGTTTGAATCCTCCCAATGCGCGACAGTATGGTCCGGGGTGCAATTCCATGATTCGTTTTGTTTGAGAGAACACTGCGTACTGGCTCGCGCGGCGCCTCATTTGTGAGGTTTTGCTCATTTGTCCTATTCGTCCCTTTACACACATGTCGAGTCGTGCTGGGCTCCACCTGCGCCCCACAGCACTGGAGGCCTCAGGGTTCTCAACCCGCGCACTTCGGCACAGGCATAGTAGATACCGTTGGCACCCTCGCCCTCGGTGTTCGCTCCATTCCATGACCGGTACTAAGTATGCGGCACTGCGGCAACGGCGGTAGTGGGGTTGGGGTTGCCATTGGCGCATGTGGGCCGGCTAGGAGGACGGCTGGCAGGGGCGCGCTCTCTCCCTCACGCACCCTTAGACTTTTATTTGTCAGTTTCATGATGTTGACGAGGAATTTGGTGGAATTTTGTTAGAGAGAAGAGAAAATTTTCGTAGTGACTGCGACATTGATCTGAGTGGGAGAAGAGGGCCCATGCATGGACCCTCATATGACTATATGACTCATATATGAGTACGGCAGAGCCGCGCACCTACAAGGTCAGCGCCAGGGACCGGGACCAGGGCCAGGGCTTTTCCATCCTATGCCTGAGGTCCTCGCGCGGCCGGCCTTGACTGCTCTCAAAGCGTTTTGTGATGCTCCGCTCCATGCAATTGAGCTGGTTATTCTGCTGAATGTGGCTTTTCCAGAAGCGCCCGGCGCTAAATTTCGAGAGTTCCTCCTTTTTTCAACGCTGCTAACAGTGTCTTTTGGCCTGGGCAATCCACCGCTGTTTCTTGGCGTTGGTGTCCACGGTGGTGGTGACGATCGTCATTGGTGGGTTAATGTGATCCTGCACGCGTCGGATACTATCCGTACTATGGCAAGCTGCCGTCGGCTTGGGTGCCTATGTGTCCGTATAGCATGGCAATTTTCCGAATTGGTTGTGTTTGGTATGTCGTACAAGCAATAGTGCACCTCTCTGCGCGCTATTGGGCTGCGCGAGGAGGCACAGTTAAATAAACATGGACGATTGCTGGATTACGGTTGGTGGTTGACTGTTGATGGTTGACGGTTGGTGGCTGACAATGGCATGTTTCATTGGTACGGCATGTCTGTGACCGGCGTTACCGCTGTTCGGCAGTCCGGGTCCATATACTTGTGGGCAAACACGACATGTACGACATATTTAACGGTATATGAGCCCGTTGCTTTTTGATTAATTCCGTGATTATATTCGAATGTTACGCGTGCGCACCTGCTGTTTATGCGGGTCGCCGGTAGCTTCACGTTGGCCGCGTCTTAGCTCCTGCGGCGCAGTTGTTTGTGGGTTTATCGGCTCCCAATGAATCGTATACACCTTACGTTGCGTTGCGGCCCTAATACTAGTAGGCGTAGTGAACATGACATCAACGCACCAACAAGGGCCTGCATCTCAGAACGGCATATTGATTCGTGAAGCGGTGATGCACACGCCTCCCTTGCCGTGAGCCATTAAAGCATCCATCCTGCAACATTCTGGAATGCTGCATTATTTCGAGCGTTCATGTGGAAGCGAAGGGAATGTATGACTAACATCATAAGCCGGGCAAATAGCTCCATCGTCCCCAAGTGCGCGATCCCCGGTGCCTACTAGCTTCACCAGGCTGGCGACGGATTTTATGTAAGTGGTATGGGCGCCTTGGATTGCGGAGGGGAATGGCGGGCGGTTGTAAAGGAGAGTCCTTGAGGACATGGTGACGAGCGATGGACGCGCAAGGATTCGCTGGGCCCTATCGTAAGAAGATTATTTTAAAATTTGAAGGAGTGTTGGTGGTTCCACGTTTGCCGACCTCCCTGCTCTCACCAGGCATCTGTCGGACCTGGCTCGAGCTGGCATCTTATTTGGCGTACTGCATCTCGTACGTCGTACTTACACATGGGGATAAACCAATGCTACCCAACAGGGTGCCGTTCAGATCCAGCAGGACGGGCATGGGGCCAAGATGGGGCCGACGAAGAGTGGCACGGGAGTTATGGCGTGATGCTTGCGCGTCACCACAAGCTAACTTCGCTTGTCGGACCACCGCACAGCGCAAGGTCTGCAAATAAGTTTGCCCCCAATACGAAGCACAGGGAATATAGGCACACTATGTCGACCTCCTGCAAACCTATACACACAGCACATACTACCACCCCTAAGCAACCAGGTAGCTCATTTCCACCAATAGACACGCTCCACATGTCGGTCTTAATCAACCAGCCTGCTTGATCCCGAGCCGCTCCCGCCACCGTGGGAGCTCTCCCATTGCTGCGGCGATTGCTGATGCCGCTTCCTTGCAAGCTCTTGGTTGCAAAGATATGCCACGCAGCAGCCTCACTCTCCTTCAGCTGCCGGGTTGAGTCCGTTAAGGATTCGAGGAAACAATGCCGTCAGCCACCGGGCCCACTGGGGCTTGCGACCTGCTGCTTCAAGGTTGTAGGCAACGGTCCGTTATCAAAGGACGAGGCAGTCCTTT